AGCACACACTCTCAAAATGATCAGAGAAGATAATCTGGGCTTTAAGGGATTTAGCACTCAGAACAAGGCATGATAATTCCAAAAGCTGAATATTCAGCCTGAAGTCATTCCCAGCCATTCTGTCACCTGGCATTTGATTCTATCCTGCACTTCCTGCTTCAGTGAACCACCAGTAAGGAGGCCAGACTTTATTTTTTTAAACAGCTTATTAACTTTATAGTATACATCTTTCTTGTTTTAGGCCTTCCTCTTCTTACAACAGACAGTGACACTGAAAAAATTCCCAAACTCTCAGAAATACATGTCCATATGAAAAACCAGAGTGCGTGTTTTTTCAAGAGGGTGACATCCTTGGTCCCACCATCTCTGGCATCAATCTGTGACTTAGAAGCATATGATAGAGGTGAAATCTGTTCACACTCTGAATTCCCTGCAGTCTCTCCTCCACTCTTCTTGAATGGGTGGAAAGTCTATTTTTTCCCCTCCTGATCCAGCAGATGTAAAGGTAGAGATCTTACCACAGGACCTAGCCATCAGTTTCTGTGCTGATACGAAGGCTCTGAGGACACTTGGTTAGCAAAACCCTTTCCTTGGCCTGTCTCCTTGTTCTCTGAATGATCAAGGGTTGCCTCACACACTTCCTGAAATAACAGCTGTGGCGGGGCGGTGTAAATTTCACTGTAATCCACCGAATTTTGGATGGCAACAATTAAATGGCCCAGGGGTTTATTTAAACTGGTGCTGCCTTGGCCAGGCTCTTGAGAATGGCATGTGCACTGAAGCTGCACGTCTGCACGTTCAGGAAGAGTCGCTTTGGCTTCCATTTAGCAGGGTATTTTTGAAAACCGAGCACTGTTCCTTATTTGTTTACCTCTAATCCAGGAAGCTGAAGTTAATTATTGCACAGATCCTTCAGCATTGAAAGTCCACAGACATGACGTCATGCAAAACCACTGTGTCCAAAGTCGGAATTTTTCAGTAAGCTTGCTGCACCTATCTTTGTAACCCTAAACAAAAGGCATGAAACTGCAGAATGCCATGCTGTTTATTCAAAACCTGAAAGACAGGAATATGTCACACACTGACAGGAAAAACATACAAGAGATTAAAAGAAATCCTGAGCCAAGACCTATTAAGCAGAAGCCTCTAAAAAGGGAAAAGGCTGAGGCAGGGAAGAATTGCTGTTGAGCATCAGGGAAAACACTCTGAGAGCATCAGATCTGATTCAGTCAAATACTAAATTCCAAATCCTGTTCATAATGGCATCCCCACGAGGCTTTAATGTATACGCAGAGTTAAATCACTGACACAGCAGCTCTGATGAGGAAGTATCAGACAGCTGCCAATAAAAATGCAAGAGTTATCAAAGCCCTGAATGATTTCAGAATGGGTAATGGGCTACAGAGCCTTTTCATTGCCAGGTCACCAGTTCAGATTTGGCCCGGGCTGGTGGTAGCTAGAACTGATTACCGCACAATGGCTGTATAAGCAATTGTCAGGTTTCACACAGTCAAAGTGCCATTAATTAGTGCCCTTGCTGGTAGTCACTGCAGATGAGTCCAGAACTGAAGATGGTCGTTTATCTTGTCGCCGTAGGGGACGGTCCCTGTAGTTCAGCTCTGAAGCCAGGAAAAGCAGGGAACTGCAGTTCTGCTGCTCATGGCGTGCCCGGAGTGAGGGCAGTGCGTCTGCAGTACGATGAATCCCAAGTCCTTCCCAAATACTATCAATCGTGTGAGAATGAATAAAAGTTTGTGCTGCAGCAGCTTCATGAGCGTATTTACTACAAGCTTCAGTCATTTGGTGGAATGATGATATTCCATGTGCAGTGAAATATGTCCTGAGCAAAGCATTAGGGCAGCAACACTAACCTTCAGCTAGCCTGATCCATGAGCCAGTTACATGAAAAATGTAAAGTCCTACTGGGACTCCATGCAAAAAACCCCACCTCACTTTAAAAAGTATAAAAGAGTCTTCCTTTGGTTTACAATTAATCTTTTTCCAATCAGTCATGTGGCAATGCATTTTAGAGAGTCATGTGTGAGAGTTTCAAGTCAATTCTCACAATTACTCGCTGGCATTGTACAGCAAGAACCCATTTGCAGGCTGACCACAACTCTTCTGGACAGCAATACACTGACACACAGTTTATATGAAATCAACAGCATTATTTTCTTGTATCTGTCTATGATCTTGTATCTACCTATGAGTCTGATTCATAATGTACATTCAGCACCGTGTTCAGCACTGCTGTCCATCATGCATCTGCATATCCCTCTGAGTCTGACCCAACTTCAATGGGAAATAAAATTTTTACAGGCCGCAACTAGCCCCAGTGAATTTGAAAGCTCAGAATGTTGCTTCATTTATTTTCTGTAGAAAGACCTCTTTGCTAGATGACTTCAAGAGGGATTTGTAAGGATGTTCTGTACCCATTTCTGTAGCTGTTACTTAACTCCTCCCATACAAAACCGTGCAAGAGACAGATGGATGAGACGTGAAATGTTTCATTGGGTCGTTTGACAATGAATGTGGTTTTATTCAGGAATGCTACACAAGAGTGACTGTGACTGAGCACTGGCAGCACGGCAGCTTACTCTTCGTTAGCTGCCCAGCTACAACCACCCATGCACAGGCGCTGAGCTGCCTCGGCTGTGAGGTTAAACCAGTGAGCTTAAACCTCCTTCACTGGGGTTTATGTTAGACAGAGTGCCTAAGCCCTTGGCAACAACAACAACAGAATGCTACAGGCTCCCAGAGGACTCAAAAGCACTTCAGCCGAGCAGCAGCTTTATCTACGTGGTGTAAGAAGGCCTCTTCCCGTAACGTCCGTCAGGGATGTGAAGGCTTGATCAGCCCTTCTTCAACTGTCCTGTCATCATTTACTAATGAAAATGAACTGTCCCTGACAGGGTCATTAAGAGGTTAAGATGTAAAAAACTAGCTCCATCCCCTCTCC